TTCTCCAGGAACGGTCTTCCCAAGAATATACAAAAGACTATATGTAAATATTGTGTACACTTTCTTGTTTCAAGACATTTTGTTCTAAGTACATTTTGTGTTGTATTATTATTCCATGCATTAGTCAAGTTTTAACATTTATGTAGCATCTAGCGGTGTTGGACAAATCGGACGTCATCTTTTTTTTTTTTATTGATTACTTTCATAGTAAATTGATTTAGTTTTTCCTGAAAGATAAAAAAATAATCATTTTGAATTTTATTTTATTAAAATCAACCGACAATAAATTAAATGTCAAGTTTTCCGAATGTTTCCTTATCTATGAATATTTAATTTACAAACACACCACAACAGATATTAAGAGAGATGGCAAAGGATTATTTCTTTTCTTCTCCAGATGATGGCCAACGGTTAACAGTTATAAGTTTCTAACATATGAATATTTTAAATGCCAATATTTGCATTTCATAATTTTAACATCAAGATATTTAATGTTTAGATTTGGTTTTCCAAAAAAACTTTCTTAGCTGTTTTAAAACAATGAATGGGTTATTTCATGTTTTGAATCTATAAATGTAATTTCTCTAAAATAATACAACCTATAAAAATATTAATTGCTTTACAAATTTATTCAAATAAATAAAAATTATTAATCCCTTTGCAATTTACGCATATATAAAAAAATAAATAGGAATAAAAATAAAGAAAAAAATAAATCACGGAAGACATTTTTCATTTTCTTGAAATTTAAATATTTAAAAAAAAAATTTGAATTTTATTCTTCAAAAAATAATAAATTTCCATTTAAAATTGTAAAATATTGTCAGGAATTTGAGATCATTTTTTATGTTTTTTTTTTTAATGTTTATAGATTTTTGTTTTATGTTGACTTAGAAGCCAATAATTTTCTGAAATTTTTTCCTTTTGGCAAAAGAATTTTATTTAGGAAAATAATTTTGAACAAAACGATGAAAATCTTTTTTTTCCATGATAATTTTTTAAATATTTTTTTTTTGAATTGTTTGGATTTTAATAAAGATTTGATGATGATGATGATGATGATGATGATGATGAAAAAGACTAAAATTTCAAAAAATTTTTTTATATCCTTTTTTTGTTCGAAATTAAAATTTTTTTTTTATATAATGCATATATAAATTTTTTCAAGGTTAATCGTTCAGAAAAGTAAAAGATCATCATTTAAGGAAAAAAAAGTAAAAGACTGGCGAAGTTTACATATCGAATCATGGCTCATGTTTATAAAAAATTCTTATGCAAAATTTTGCATTCTTCTTATTTGTATTTGCCGAAAACCCCTTGAATTCAAACTGGCTATCCAACTTTAATCTTAAAAATTTAAATGCAATATCCATTAATATGTTCCTTTGAGGAGCGTTCTTTAAAAATTGCTTCCAAAAAAAAACTTTGGGGTCATTATAAAAGATTGTGTTTTAAAAAGGTTTAAATGAAAATTCCGTATATAAAAAGGATTCATATATATATATATATATATATATATATATATATATATATATATATATTCATATATGTTTCATTAAATAATATAGACAAGTGTTGTCTATTTATTTTATGTTTAAATTCTTTTCATAACGTCTGATAATTTAATAACATTATAATTAAACGAAGAAAGAAAATCACAATATTGATCCATATTTTTTAATCCAATCTAAGCTTTCGGCTTACATAAGCCATTATCAAAGATGACAATTACTATACAATATATTAAAAATATACGGACAAGACAGTGATGATAGTCTGTCATTGTTTACATGGATGATTTCCAAAGCAACGATAAACACGTGCATATAAGACGCTTGGAAGCGAAAATCGCACCGCAGCTCATGACGTCACACATGACCACAATGAGAGTGAATTGGAGAAGTATGAAAGACTATGGAAAGCCGTTGGTATAAACCAATGGCTTCTGTTACCAATTATAGACATTTAAGGATATTTGTAGAGATTCCATAGTTGATTTTGTTTAGATTAGTTTTCAACTGTTTGATGTATATTGCTTCAAGGATTTTTAGTTTTTTTCTATTGTTTTCATGTTTAAGTATAATTGTGTTTTCGACAAGGATTTTACGGAATTGTGTAAAGCATTTTCATAATTTTTAAATGCCTAAAAATGTTAGATTTTTTCATTCAAATGTATTTCTCAAGCGTCGAAAGTCAGTTTTTAAAAACATTAAAAAAATTAAATAAATTGAAAACATTTCTTGTCTGTATTATTTAATGAAACATGTATATATGAAAAATTAAATAAAATATTGATAGACAGCCACTATACACACAAAATATTTTCACAATATAACACACATAATGATATATATATGTATATATATATATTTATATATATATATATATATATATTTATTGACAGGAATGTATCAAATTATATTTAAATGGACATTCATGTGTTTCAAATTTGAAAATTCAATTCAATGAATTAATCATAAAAATTAAATATTAAATAACTAAAATTTTCCATTATCAAAAATGACTTTGAATAACGTTTTTATGTATTGATTTATTTAATTTATAAGTCCAGACAAGTTTGGTTTTTCGAATTTGGATATCTGGGTTAAAAAAATTCAAATGTAAATTTTTTTTTATTTTTATGGTATTATATTTATAAAATTTAGAAAACTTTATATCTAATGTATTGTATCTATCAAATCAATTTTGTTTATCAAAAAGGTCATGGGGGGATATTTTATCGATTGATACAAACTTTTTTTTTTTTTATTTTAAATTGTTTATTGTTATTACATATATCTGTGGCCTTTTTTTCTATTTTGACATTTTTATTTTTTTATTTTTGATTTTTTTTTTATTAAATTTTTTACTTACGATTTTCTTTAAAATCAAAATTTTCAACTATTATTTAGTAACATTTTTTAATATTTATATTTTTATTTTCTACCGATATTAAGATATTATATTTATTTAAATTGTGTATATGTATGTTAATGTTAAATTATTCATTTCATTTTCATTTAATTATGTATTCATAAATCTAAATATATTTATGATCAAATATAATTATGTTAAAATTTTTTCATAAAATTTAGCTGTTAATTAATCTTTAAAAAGTTTTTCCAATTTTCTACAAAAATTTATTTGTTTCATTTTCTTTGATTTATTAAATTTCTTATTATTTTTGGTTTATTTATTTTAAATTTTATGTGAATGATTCATGAGATTTTTATAGAAACATTTTCGATGTTGATTTTAATTAAAAAAGTTGTAAATATTCAATCGTTTATTTCTATTGGTTTTCAATATTAATTATTCGTATGGGTTTAAAATATAATTTTTCAATGCTGACTTTTTCATCAAAGTATCCATAAAACAATTTTAAAAAAAATATATTGAATATAGCAACGTTTTATTTGATTCTTTTTATTTTTATTTATAAATAAAGTTTTTATATAAAATTATATATTTGTAAATGGTCCCTAAGTAGAAAAAAAAAATATGGCTTTAACTTTAAAAAATATTTTGAATATTTTTTTTTTTTTATATTCTTCCGTTAGAATTCTTATATCAAATC